TATCGAATGATCAAGAAACTGGCCGACCAGACAATCCACCCGTCGCTTCGTACCTTCGTCAATTACAGACTTAGGAATTCGCAGGGAGTCGTTGATGAACTCAGGCTCATAGTTGTCCAACTTAAAATCATGATTGATATAAAAAAAGAGAAGCCCAGGTGTGCTCGTCACCAACGACTCCTGTGGAAGCTTCACCGGTAACGGTCTTCATCAGCCAAGAGAAGAGGAAAACTCAGGAACGCTCACAGAAAAAGAAAGAGAAAAACTCTAAAAAGTTTACTATTATTATTATTATCACAAAATCAATAATTATGTACTGTGTATTTTGCCAGCAACTAAGGGGTCGTTTGGAGAAAGGGATTTAGGGCGTGAATTCATTGAATCCGTAGATTTTGTAGAAATTTATGTTTTTTTGTTGCTTTTTTATATTGTGTATTTTAGCTTTACAGATTTCAAATCTCTAAAATCTACGGATATCAAATCTCTCATAATCGGAGAGATTCTATATCTTGATTCGTGAGATTTTTTCTCTCAATAAAATTTTTAATATTTCTCGAACCACTCTAATTTTTTATTAAGGATAAACATGTTATTTAATAAAAAAATTTATTTAATAATTTTTTTTTATATTTCTCGAACCACTCTAATTTTTTCATTGAATGTTAACAATCACAGATACCAAACGGCAAACATTTTAAAATCTATTTTCAACAATCCGAAGAGTTATAATCTTTAGATTGTTGACAATCTATAGATTTAAACTCATATTCTCCAAACGACTCCTAAAGTGTGAGATTGTTGGCTATTCATATTTTGTTCCTAAATACACAAGAAATAAATAAATAAATCAGTAACCATTTTGCCAGGGCTAAATTGCAAGTTTGGTCACTCGAATTACTATAAAATTTCACGTTTGCCACTAAAATTAATATATTTCATCCATAGTCACTTAAATTTGTTTAACGATTCAAGTTTGGTCACTCTCCGTTAGTCTCCGTTAAATTTTGCTGACGTGGCAGTCAACTTTGATAGTTGACCGTGAAATGAGTGACGTGGCAAAATAAAAATAATTAAAAAATAAAAAATAAATCATTTATAATTTCCACCTCATCATCAAAATTATTAAAAAATAAAATCTAATTATCTAATGAATCATCCCTACCCACCCCTCACCGTTGCCGAACAAAATTCAGCTCGACAACAAGGCAATGGGAGCCGAGAAGAAGGGATCTAGTGGAGATTGTTCCATGGACGCCCTGTTGATAATCGCTTGAGGACGAATCCGGCCAGAATCGGAGTTTCCTACAAAAAATGGTTGAAAATGGCTTGATCGAGACGCTCTATTGATTCGTGAAGGTAACAACAGCGTTTTCACCGGCGGTGGTGCAGTTCGCAGTCAGGGGTTTGGTTGGTGTCGGCCGAATTTGGGGATTTCGACGAGTTGAAGAGAATAGTATTATTGATCCCAAATGAGGATTCACCCGATTCGGTACTGGTGATGCTCCCGAATCAGAACCCTATAAACATCCAATCATTGTCATCCACGCCAACTTCACGGGCGAAATACCGGGTAATTAGCATAAATGGTCACAAATCTTTGCATTTAGTACAAAACAGTCACAAACCTTTAATTTGTAACCATTTGATAACAAAACTTTTTACTTAGAACAAAACGGTCACAAATTAAACAGTGTGACCATTTCATACCAGTTCAAACTTTTGTTACCGTGTCGTTGCAAATCAGACTTTTGGTGACCGTTTTGTACAAATTAAGTTCAAAAGTTTGAACGCTCAACCACCGTTACAATTCACTCTAGTTGTATGGTGGTTTTGTTAATGTATGTGAATGATATGATCGTCATAAAGGATGACAATGAGAGAATTCAATGGCTCACAAACGGGTTCCAGACTGCTTTTTAGTTGAAAAAACTCTGTCTACTTTCTTACTTTCTTGGTATCGAAATTGAAAGGTCAACAGAGGGCATTCTTATTCGGCAAAGCAAATATGTCGATGAACACATGACCTGACATCTTATATGTCGTTCAAGTGGTTAGTGTCATATACTTAACGAACAAACTACCCGAGACCTCAAAACATGACAAACATTTAATTTGTAACGATTCGGTAACAAACCTTTGCACTTAAAACAAAACGGTCATAAATTAAATAGCGGTGACCATTTTATACAATTTCAAAGTTTTGTTACCGTATTGTTACAAATTAAAGGTTTGTGACCATTTTGTACTAAGTGCAAAGGTTTGTTACCATTTATGCTAATTACCCGCGAAATACCCCTCAACTTGACTCGTTGCTTCCAACTCAACTTCTTGTTGTTAGAGCAAAATCACCTCACTAGCCCGATTCCTCCGGAGATCGGGACACTAAACAAGATCCAGTATCTCAGACTTGGAACCAACAATCTCACGGGACAACTTCCCCCTTCCTTAGGAAATCTTTCCATGCTAGTCGATTCATGGGATAACTTCGTCCTTCCGAAGAGTGATCGGAGAGGAGGGGGCTTACCTCGGAGGACATGGTGGGGCCGTCGCTGGCTGGTGGAGACGGCGGCGATAGGGGTTGTGCTTTGTTGGGAGGAAAGACGAGACACATTAGTGGTTTTTTCTTTTAATTTATTGTTAAATGAGGTGGAAATTTGTAACAAATTTATTTTATTTTTTAATTATTTTTATTTTGCCACGTCACTCATTTAACGGTCAACTATCATAGTTGACTGCCACGTCAGCAAAATTTAACGGAGACTAACGGAGAGTGACCAAACTTGAATAGTTAAACTAATTTAAGTGACTATGAATGGAATAAATTAATTTTAGTGGCAAACGTGAAATTTTATAGTAATTCGAGTGACCAAACTTGCAATTTAGCCATTTTGCCAGCGACCCAAAATTTAATGACTGTCCAAGTAAACGAACACTTGCAGTCCCTGATCCGTGCTCTTCATCGCCACCGGCCGGCGACTTATTCTACCCTAGAGTCATAAACCCTAAACCCCAACTCGCCAAATTCCACTCGAGCAAAATGATCTGCAGAACCCGCCACCAGTCTCTATTCCCACTCAGAAACCTCCTCCTCTTCTCCAGATCATCATCGCCGGAACAGAAACACTCCGCCGCCGCTCTCCACCGCCACCTCACCACCCCCTTCCTCATCCACCAACGATCCATCACCAAAGTAAGGCTCAAATGGGTAAAAAATCGCAGCCTCGACCACGTAATCGACGTCGAGACTGATCTCAAAGCCGCTTGTCTTCTGAAAGACGCAATCAAACGCTCCCCAACTGGTTTCCTCACCGCCCAGTCCTTCGCCGATTGGCAGAAGCTCCTCGGTCTCACCGTCCCCGTCCTCCGCTTCTTGCGCAGGTACTTTGAATGTTGAATTAGATTGGGTAGATGCGTAGATAGCCATTCCGTGCATCCAATCAAAATTTTCTTGTTTTTGCAGGTATCCAACTCTGTTCGAAGAATTCCCACACGCCCGCTACGCGAACCTGCCATGCTTCCGACTTACTGAAACAGCGCAACTTCTCGACTCACATGAACAATCCATCCACCAAGCTCGCGAGGCTGAAACCGTGGAGAGACTCGCCAGATTGCTGATGATGATGAGAACCAGAACGGCACCAATTCAATCGATCCACCCGCTGAAATTCGATTTAGGTCTCCCCGATAACTTCGAACGGAACTTAATCCCTAAATATCCCGACCACTTCCGAGTACTCAAGGCATCCAACGGAATCGGCTGCTTACAGCTCGCCGAATGGAAGCCGGAATACGCATTCTCCGCTCTACAAAGGTCCCACGAGAGCAAGAACGGAGCCGGGGAAAACGACGAATACAGGCCGTTCAAACGAGGGCAGGCGGCTTTGAACTTCCCGATGAGTTTTCCGAAAGGGTACGGTGGTCAGAAGAAGGTGAGGGCGTGGATGGATGAGTTTCAGAAGCTGCCGTACATTTCGCCCTACGACGATGCGTCGGGACGGATCGACCCGGAGAGCGAGCTGATGGAGAAGAGAGTGGTTGGGGTTCTGCACGAGTTCTTGAGCTTGACGATTCACAAGAAGACCAAGAGGAATTACCTGAGGAGTTTGAGGGAGGAGCTGATTTTACCGCACAAGTTCACTCGGATGTTCACCCGGTACCCGGGGATTTTTTACCTGTCGTTGAAGTGCAAGACGACGACGGTGGCCCTAAGGGAAGGTTACCGGCGGGGGAAGCTGGCGGAGCCGCATCCGCTTGCGAGGTTGAGGGATAAGTTTTATCATGTGATGAGGACTGGAGTGCTTTACAGGGGAAAAGGTGAGAGCATGGTGAACCCAGAAATGATGCTGAACGATGCAGAAGAGGAAGAGGAAGAGGAAGAGGGTGAAGATGAAGGGTCGGAGTCGTGTTATGATGAAATGTCGGATGATGACCGATGAAGATGATTGCATTTGCTTCGCCTTGATTCTGCTCCTCTTGTGCAGAAGCAGAGGATGTCATTTCAGGGAGCTAGACGAACTTGCAGGTTTACTACCTGACCTCTGATTCGAGCATACAACAGAGTTTCCTCGTAAGGAATGCGACTTGTAACCAGAATTTTGTATGATTTTATTGATCTCAAACTATCGTCTAATGACAAGAAACTCCATATTGGATCAACATGCAATGCCACTGTTCAATCTCTCAAATACTGTTTCTGCAAAAAAATAATCTCACTTATACTGACTGGGAGGCCAGAGATATGAGATAGAACGCATATGAATTATGAAGTTGAGTAGCGTTAGTCGATGTGCAAAGAAACCATAAGCAAGCAAGTTGCATGAATATAAACTAATCAAAACCAGCTTCAGCAAAATGCTCCAAAAAACAAGATAAGAGCACCAAGATATAGGAGAAACCGCATAAGTACACAACAACAGCAGCATACATGGAAGGGTATATCCATTCCACGGTCAAAATTGTAATAAATCTCTCCAATAAATGTGAGAGAAAAGAAAACACACATTGGCTTCGTTCTGGAACAGGAATGGTGAAGTGGGCTAATAATTCTGTTCCATATAGTAGTAGTCTGGTTAAACCCTACAACTAAAAGGGTACAAATTCAGTTCCAGTCGGGGGATATCATCATCATGGACTAATAGAAGAAACCCACCCTATTCAGCTCCCAAAATAAAATAAAAAACACTTCAAAAATACACAACTCGTCCATTGTTAGAACCCTAATAGAGCCCACTACTACAGAGACCCAGAAATTTTTTCATACTTGAACTTGAGAAACGCCAGCTTGAGGACATGTACGGTCCCATATACTTCCTCAAACAACAATAAAGGGCTACTCAAGGAGTCATCCGGTTAATCCCAAGCACTGGGTGCCCCAGGACCCATGCCGCCGCCCCCGTAACCACCAGACATGCCCCCATAACCACCACCACCACTGTTCCCTCCACCATGGTAATCTCCACCACCACCACCCCTGTTGAAGGACCCTTCCCTCCTGATATCCCTAGAACCAAACCGCCCTCCTCCGCCTCTTCGATTCTTGCCTCCCCCATAAGAAACCCGTGAAGCGTATCTAACAAGCCAGTTGGGAACTTCTTGGTTGGCTTCTTGCATCAACTCAACCAGTGATCTCGCCAACGAGATATTGTGGTCGTTGAAGAAAGCCGTAGCCAGGCCAGATTTCCCAGCTCTTCCTGTACGCCCTATTCTGTGGACATAATCATCAATGTCGTTGGGGAGATCAAAGTTGACCACATGAGCCACGTGTGGTATGTCAAGACCACGAGCTGCCACGTCAGTTGCCACTAGGATTGGCGTCCTTCCACTCTTGAATGACCTCAATGCAAGCTCCCTTTCCTGTGACCAACAATAATATAGCCATCATAAGCATTATCATTCAGTGCTTTACGCGAAACCCTTACACAAGGGTTCATATTGATGAACAACTCAGGGAATCAAATCAACAAAACCATCGAGGGACAATATGCATGAAGGTCTATTCAGAAGAAACGAACCTGCTGAGTTCTATCACCATGAATTGTTGTAGCAGGGAACCCATTTTGACACAACCAGTACTCCAGGGAATCAGCACCCTTCTTAGTCTCCACAAACACTAATGTCAAGGATTGCTACAGATAACAAAAGAAAGAAAGCCACTATAAAACATTTTCTACAGAGCTCTATAACATACAAATAGATGAACACAAACATATGCTTAAACATGAGCAAGGTGGGAAGAACTTCATGCTTTACATTACTGCTTCCCTTTCTTAATCTCTTAACTCTACTCCACAGTATGCTCATTTGAGCTCAATAAATCAACCCAACTTGAAGTATAGGGAAATATCCGGTAAAGTTTAATCATTAATTACCAAAAACATGGCTACACCAAAACAAAGAGCATACAACGCATTACCTTGCCATTAGCTTCACTTTGTTTCTGTGCATGTAGAAGGTCCATAAGGTGGCTTCTCTTGTCAGCATCTTGAACATATTCAACTCTCTGGAGAATCAAATCAGTACTGGACCCAACCCTTCCAACAGCCAAGAATATGTAATTTGCCAGAAAGTCTGATGCAAGTCTCTGCAAGTACAAATAGAGGAAGAATATATATAAAATCAATGATTAAATTATGAGGAAAAATTAACGATTAAAATATCAGGAATAAGTATCAGCAACACTAATAAGAGGGCTAATGGTTTTCAGTAGGAAAACTGGTATCCATCCGCAATAAGAAGGAAAGTGCCAAAATTCAGCAATGTCAATCGTGAAAAGAATACAGGATGATAATCTAATCTAGGAACTCCCTTAACAAACTTAAAAGAGTGTTTCATACACCAAAGGGACTTGACAAACTCAAACCAGTGCTTGAGAAGCAATTCAGCACACCTGTATTTCTTTAGGAAAAGTGGCACTGAAAAGCATTGTCTGTCTCCTCCCAGATGGGGGCATGTCCACTTGTTCCACTATCTTTCTGATCTGAGGCTCAAACCCCATGTCCAGCATCCTATCAGCCTCATCAAGTGCCAAGTATTTGATCATTTGCAAGGACACTCTGGCCCTTTCAAGCAAGTCTACCAACCGCCCAGGAGTTGCTACAAGAATATCAACTCCTCTTTCAAGTTCCCTCAACTGGTCGGAAGAAAAAAGTTAATTAGCACACTATAAGAGCAAAATATTACTGTGAGACAATAACTGAGGCCAGAAGATAACTTCTGCAATATAGAAGTTGGTACATCAAATAACAGATTGCTAGAATAACCACCACCATTTCCAGTGATAGAAGTAGTGACCACCAAATCACCAAGCCTTATAAGAACGGAACAGACTGGACAGTTTTTGCATATATACTGAAACTAAACAGATGTCATTTTGAACATCATGCCTTCTGCAACATACAATAAAGTAGGAGGAAAGAAAATCCAGAAAAAGGTACGCTGACAGTATAGACAGTATATTTAATAAAATATCAATCAAACCTGTTGTGAAATTGGCGCCCCGCCATAAGCAACAACCACTCTAACACCAGTTTGATAAGCAAATTTCCTGGCTTCATCATGTATCTGGATTTATAAACAAAAAAAAAAGGGATGAAAAGGGAGTGACAATATTAGAGAAAAACTATCAAATACAAGAAATATTCGGGGAGAAAACCATTGTAGCATACAGCGCATATCACACCTGAGAAGAGAGTTCTCTTGTAGGTGAGAGTATAAGAGCCAGTGGGAAAGCTGTTCTTGGAGCACGCGGTCTCTGTACGAGGTTATCACGCATTATCCCATTGATTATTGGGAAGCAAAAGGCAGCAGTCTTTCCCGAACCAGTCTGAGCACAGGCCATCAAGTCACGCCCAGCAAGCAATATGGGGATTGCATTACGCTGAACTGGTGTTGGCCTCACATACTTGCATTTTCTTATGTTTGCATTTACTGCCTCGCCCAGGTCTATCTCTGCAAAGGTATTTACAGGAGGAGGTACATTGTCCCCACTTGCCTCCACAGGTATATCTTCATATGCATCAAAGTTAATGCCAGTTGTCTCTTGCCCGCTAGATGCACACTCAGCATCTTCTTCTTCTTCACCAAATGGGTTCACCTCACGGTCTCTACCGCGTTCCCACCCACCCGTGTTACTATTCCAACCACCAGCATTTCTGCCGCCATACCCAGATCCCCCTCTACCTGGGTCTGGTCTAGCACCCCCAGCCCAGCGGGGGGGTCCACCATAACCTACACGGTCATTAGCAGGTGATGGAGCAGGAGAGGGCTGAGCTGCAGAATCAGCTGATGGTGGTCTGTTGCGAAGGTGGGGTGGAACGTAGGCAGCACGACCAGTGCGTGGGCCAGAATTGTTGTCAGATCCAGAGCCACCAACAGAATCAGCCCATCTATTTGTCATAATTGCTTACGAATATCAAATTCAGTAAACCTAAGCCTAACAAGAGAAGAAAGAAAACGAAAAATCCAAGCCTCCCAGAAAGAAAGAAAAAATCCTCAGTCTTCGCCTATTACTGCAGAATCAATCCTTGATAATCACAGAGCCAGCAACCTATTCCAAACACGAAAGGAAACTCCAATCAGAGAACAAAATCATCAAAGTTGACAAGAATCGAACAGGTTTAACGGCCACCACAAGCAAATCAACATCAACGAGCAAGAATGCAGGCATTGCAGCCACAGACTCCCATTCAATCATAGGCCTATAGGACGTAAAAAAGCAAAAAGAGGCAGGAAACCCTTGAACAAGGAAAACTCAGACCTGGGACGGCTGCAGAAACTACACGACGCAGTCAAGCAAAATCAAGCATACGCTTCAGGACGACGCAATCCAGCAGCAACATAAAGGAGAAACAACCAGCAACAAAAGTCCCCCACAGAACAGCGGGCAAGAGAACAAATAACCGAATAAAGGGAAATCGGAAAAATGAAAGCGCCATTGCTCTTAAACCACAAACAAAGGAATAGAACAATCAAAAGAATCGAGCACTAATCCAATAGAACAACACAATAAACACAGGCAAGAGCATCGAGAGGGCAGCCAGCCAAAGGGGATATCCGAATCGAACCCTCAGCATTCTTCTCGGCGCAGCAGCTAGTCATTCAAAGCATACCAAATGCGAGAAAAAAAAAACAGAAAAATGGCGACAGATAGGAGAGGAGGAGTAGAAAATAATGCGAAGCGGAAGAATAGAAGATTCAGAGAGAGAAAGCGAGAGAGAAGGGAAAGAGATACAGAGAGAGAAGGAGACTGCGAGAGAGAAGGAGAAGGGAAGGGAGGGGAGGGAAAACCTGAGTTGGTAAAATTCGATCGAGAATCCAGAAACGCGAAACCCTAGCTGTTTGGGGATCGGACATAAGAAGAGAACCCAAAACTATCGGTTTGGTGTGGGAGAGAAAGGAGCGAGTCACCAAGGGAAAAAAGAAAAATTAAAAGGAGATATTTATGTGCGTTTGATATTTATAATTCTTTTTTACTTTTTGGGTTTCGCTTGGAATGGAGAGGAGAGGTTTAGCTTATGGCGTCTAGATTTACGTATCCCCTGCCTCCTCTCTTTGTTCTTTTCTTGTCCTCCGCTTCCTTTTCTTTTTATTCTAATATATCTATGCCTTTTCCCCTCTGATTCTCAATTTCAAATTCCTTTTACCAAAAAAAAAAAAAAAAAAAAATTACATTGAACAAAAACAAACAGTTTTCAAAAATTAAAAATTATTGAAAAAATCGGCTCCGTCCTTCCTTCTGTTCTATTTTTTTTTCCTCCCAACAATTGTAAGGTGACAATTAGTAAAACCTAAAAACAAAGAGGGGAATAATAGTCTCGTTTATTCGATTTTTTTTCCCCCTCCTAAGACTAATAGAGCTGCCCATTGCGTGGCTAAAACGGTTTTTGCATCGGCTAATCAGTACTTGGCTGATTTCCGTTATTTATTTTTCAATTCTCTGTAATTCTCTATCTATTAAATCCTACCTAAGTAAAAAAAAAAGGGGGAATAATAGGGTTTGAGTTAAAAAAGGGTTGAGTTAGAGTAAAAAATCATGTAATTTTGTAATACTACAAAATGGATGATTGAGATTGAGAGTGAAATGATTCATGATCATATTTGTAGAAAGGTGAGGAGGGAAATTAGGTGTTTGCGGAGAGCTGATAGAATTTTTGGGGCAGCTACCCGAATTTTTTGGGTTGGTATGAGTTTTCAGAGGTGTTGTTAAAACACTTTTCAAATTTTCTACGACGGACCATAACCCATTCGTTTTATATCGGATTTCAACCAATTTTGGAAATATTAGATTTTTGTGCTCTACATGATATTCATTTTCATATTTTTCTGCACAAAATTTTTGTAGGTCATCTTACCATTGTCATATCACGATAGTACAACTAACAATGTTATGATATCATAGTGATATGATGTTGATTGAGCAGTAATATGATGTTGGCATGAGGTTTTATGTTTGATAAAACAGTTTGGTGACATCCTATCACAATCGTATCATGATATTATCATTGTGGTATATTGTTAATATCATGATATGATAGTGATATGATGTTGGTATGAAGTCTTACGTCTGAGAAAATAATTGTGATATGATAGTGGTATGATGTGTGAGTCTTACTGGCTCACTAAAACACAACACTCCTTATAGTGTCCAAGTATAACCACTGCAAGGGACTATAGTAAAGTTGGTTCGATTTAGATTGTCAGCCCGAGTCCTAGATGTACTGTTTATTCCATCAATTCTATATTATCTAGCGATCAAGTTTTAGTGAAGTTGTTTGCAAACTAAGCAAAAAATAAAGCAAGTAAATTGTTCAGTTAATGCAAGAAGGGTCACTAATGTATGTGTCCCTTAGATCCTCAATTAGGTCGAGTTGTAGTCCCCTTTAGTTGTTTTACCAATGATTATACAACAGAAGCTTCGATAATAGTTTGGAATCTCTTAAGCCGACCAAGCCCTCTTAGACATAGTACCCGGCGGGCGTCTAACGTCCACCTAAGTAAAATGTTAAGGCAATGAACAAAGATCTCCTATACTGGAGTAAATTCCAGTACATAATATGAATCGATAGACTCTAGTACGATTTCACCACTTCCAATCGAAGAAGCTCCATTAACCCAATCAGATTATGTATATCTTAGGTTAAAGCAGAAATTAAGAGAATATGATCAAGATCCAAATGACTCAAATATTCATACTTCAATTGAATATAACCAATCAGTTTAACATCCAAAGGTTCATAGAACACTGATTCTAACACATGGAACTAGGATTCTACACACCCAAGTGAAAATGAAGTTTACTCCATAGAAAGAGAAAAAAACACAGATGAAGTGGTCATACTCATCATGATGTGTATAATCAGCTCTTGGATGTCAATAAGCTCTCTGAGGTGCAAAATCCAAACTTCAATCGCCAAATCTTAGCTCAAATTAGCTCCAAGGACTTGTTCTTTGTCACTTTCTCTTTTTAGGGTTCTCTTAGATGTTTCTTGAGGGGAAAATCAGATATGGACTCAAGTGTCCAAGTCTGCCTTATGTTTCCCTAAGGTTTTGCAAGTCACGGGCCACGTCACTGCCATGACTTAGCCATTTCGCCCGTGACATCCAAAACACGTCGTTTCTACAATCCGTGAACCAAGAGTCACGACTGGGGACTTCATGTCACGGACATGACTGTGAGTTAGGCGGTGACTCACGGTCATGACCTGGAGTTAATCTTGGGACTTCTGTCTCCCCGTTGTCAAGTCACGGGTTGGCTGAAGAAGTCACCACCGTGACCGTGACTTCTGCTCCTTGGCCATCCTTGATTCGGGCATAATTACACATATTTTACCCCTCATATCTTGATTGTTTGACTTGGTTATCGTCGTCCCTCGACCTATTTTATGCTAGGTTGTGCTTCTTGGTCACATTTCAGGTCCTAGTACTAGGGAAGGTCCGAGATGAGTTCGAGTCATTCAGAGGTCAAAATGAGCGAAAAAGATGAGGTTGTGCATGTTCACGGGCAAGAGGCAAATGTTAAGCCCTAAAGGAGTGAAAATATCCCTAAGGGAGTGAAGTGCAAGACTTAAAGGGAAGCAATCATTTATCACGATCCTGAGACCGTGATAATCACCCCATACCGTGAAGTTGCCAAATTCCAGCATCCATTATGCATCTCGTGGGCCTAAAAGATATCACGGTCCCGAGACCGTGAAAATCACCCCGTGACTGTGATAATGGCTCAAAATGGTGCATTTTTTTGTTGAGATCACCCTCTGCTTGCTATTATCAAGGCCGTGAACAGTGGCCCTGATGTCAACATTTTCGGGCAAATATAGAGACTTTAACTGGGAGAGAGAAATGTGAGCTGGTTTTTGGAGTAGAACTTGGTTCTCTCTCTAGGGTTTTGACCCAAAGCACCAAAGGGGAGTTCTAGTGAGAGAGAGGAAGAATTCTTGAGTGATCTTGGAGCTTAATTGAAGACATTGATCAAGCTAGGAAGCAAGGAATCAAGCTTAGAAGAAGATCTTGTGCTCCAATTTGAAATCTCTATCTCCTCTCTCTAGAAACTAGCCCTCTTCTCTTAGGTTTAAGAACCCTAGGTTTTAGGTTTTGGTTTTATGTTGATGTATGTGAAAAATCCCATGTTTGATTGTGTTTATTATCTAATTGATGGATCGTTTTCATGAATTGCATGAGTTCTACATGTCAATTGAGCTTTTGACCTAGGAGGGAGACAATCCCCTTAAAGACCATTTTTGGCATCTTCGGGTCACTCTTATTATATGTTTTTCGGTTAATCATCAGGGAGTTGATTCGATCGATCTCCTAGCTATGTATGAATCCCTAGGTTGAATAGAGAACCTTCTCATCCATCACTTTGCCGTTTCGGGTCAATCTCGAGTGAGTCGATCTTATAATGGTAGGGTAGTTAATCGATCAAGCTACGATAGTACTCAACATTGATCCAAACGATATAACTAGGGGGATTCAAGCTAAGAGAGTTCCACCCCTTGTAATTAGCTAGGTTAGTTAGTTTAGTTTTCTTAATCACTATTGACTCAACCCCACTATCACAATGAAATCCCACCTAAGGTCCAAGTATAAACCTTAAATGGGTGCAATATAGGGAAAATATGTTTAAATATCGATTCGGGCCAGCCCACGTACCCCTACTTTGACTATTTGAAACATTATCTGGCGGATTGTTGTTTTGCGAAAATCTCTACAATCTACTATTGAAAAGCAAGGCTTGAAAAGTGAAGTGGTGGAAAACTCTTGGTGAGAAGCTTCACTCGGGTGTTGCTTCAATCTGACCAACTACCATGAACCGTGAGATCGAATGAATCGCTGTGGAACAAGGCGATTGTGAGCCGCTAGGAGAGACAACAGTGGTTGGAAACCACCTCTCAATTGCTAGGCCAAGGAAAGCATTATAAGCTACAAATGTATCCCTCTTGGCTCGGGCAATTTAGGGTTGCCTTAATTTCTCCCTCAAACCAGGATTTGGAGTGGCCAAAGCACAATTAACCTAGATGCTCAATTTGAGTTTAGAGATTTGCCCTACACTAACCTAGTTAGGAGGCATAGAATACCTAGGAAACCCAACTCAACTAGAGTCTCTTTAGAATAGGGGATTTCCCTCTAAGCTAGGTTAGAATAGCACAATAGATTGCAAGGCACACACAATGCACAATCACCATGAAAAATATCTCAAATATCAAATTAAACATCACCCACACACAATCATTCAATCCATACAAGTAATTACATGGTATAAGTTAGGGTTCTACAACACCCAAGTGAATAGGAGACTACTCCATGCTAGAAGAAGGAAGAACACAAAGGAAAGGGGAAAAACCATCATGGATGATGCCTCAATCCTCCTTTGTGCTTGTAGAGATCCTCCCTTGAAGAGGAACTTCCCAATTATTGACTTAGAGCAAACCCTAGCCTCTTCTCCCTTTTAGCTTGTGACTTTCTCTCTCTAGGGTTTCAAGTAGAAGAAGCTTTCTCTCACTTTTGGCTCCCCCTTCTTCTCCCTTTCAACTCTCTATTTATACTCAGATCGCACCCATTTCACAGTTCCAGTTCACGACCGTGAACATTAGGCTTTGACTGTGAACTTTGATCAAAACGCGTCGCTTCACTTATGGGGTTCACAATCCATGGCCCCTGTTCACAGTCTTAGCGACCGTGAACTGCCTCGGCGTTAGTAACCTCTGAAACCCCTCTGGACGCTTCATGGTTCACAGTTTGTGGTTCCACTTCACGGTCCTGACGACCGTAAACTCTAAGCTTTGATCGTGAATTGCGGCTGGAAACTCCTCTTTGCCCGGTCTTTGCTCCTTTTCTTCCAACTTTTGACTCTGGGGTTGGTTTCACCTGTTAGACTCTGAAACACATCAAAATACAAGGAATTAACATAGCGTAAAACCACCCTTTTTGGAGCT